CTTGCAGAGGGATAGACTTGATGATAATACATCTTTTCCATTTTGAAGGTCTGATTAATATCAATTTAGGAGATTAACTGTTTGCATGCCTCTTTAAGCCTTTTCAGAGTGTTTTATAAGCAATGAAAAAATAGGTTATTGGGGGGGAAAAATCATCCTGTGTGAAGTGAAATGGCCTGATGGGGTTGTGTAAGCTTCTTTAACTCTCCTTGATCATTCCATCAAGTAAGTTTATAGGAAACTGATTACAAAAATTTTCACTGTAGCATTGACACTGAATATTTTGTGTGCTTCAACTATTGGTTTTCTTTTATGAATTAGTTTTAAAACCCTTGCAAGGAAAAAATTGTCTTTCTCTTAGTATAATTAAACTTACAATATGAGATTTTTTTTGCATTTTCTTTCTTTTAAAAATGGGGAAAGGAAATAAGTTTACAAGTTTTATACAGTTGTTTTATACAGTTATAAATCACCCACTGGACAGCGGTTGGTTACATATGAGGTATATAAAAATTCTATCTGTTTTTATGATATATTTACAATTATGTACAATTTTGGCTGTCCAACCTGCTATTAACATTGGCTACAGAAATATTATGCTACTCTTGTTAAGACAGTTATGCAGTGTTATGATCTGTAGGCATAGCGATGAGAAGAGTTGTTTAGGTCAATTGTTTTTCAAACTTAAAGTTGCATTATTACAGAATTGATCAAATGTATTGAAGGAAGCTTCTTGAGAATTATCATTTTTTGAGATCACATGTAGAGGTCCCAACTAATATGAGGCCTCAGTGCTAAGCACTATGCAAATGTATAATCCTTATTCCCATCATATAGGATATACTAGTTGACACTACATATTTGAATTGTACCTTAATTATAACAGCTTCAGTATTAACCTTTACTGTTGTGGAAGAATGTAGCTGTGTTAATTGAGTTTCATGTGCATACTGTGATATGTGTAGATCACTTTGTCATATGGATGTAAAATCCCAGTTACGCAGTTAACCGGTTGAACTAAGTGTTTAACTGCTTAATTGCAGTGGGGGACTGCTTCAGCCAGGCTGCCGCACTGCTGGTTGCTCCGGCTGGGCTGGGCCGGGCCGGGCCTGCTGCAGTACACTGTGTGTGTTGAGGGGGAAAGGGGAAGAGGCTGCTTGGGCCAGGCCCGCTGCAGCATGCCGCTGGTAAGGGGCTCTTCTGGGCCCATTGCTGCATTTTATAGGTGGGGACTTCTCCCTCCAGGCCAGGTCAAGCCCTCTGCAACACGTTGCAGATGGGGGGCTGCTCTGGCTTTCTAACTGATTATCTGGTAAAAGGGCATGTTTACCAGTTAATCTTTTACCTTCTTAGGGATCAAAAAAGTACCAGTACCCAGAAGAGATGGTAGTATAAAAGGCCTGTATGGTACCTCAGTTTTCTTGAAATATTTGAGTCCCTAATTTGGAATACTTACCCCAATTTTTAACTGAGCCATGGTTATAGGTACTTATTTTATTCCCATATTAAATCTTGTAATGTTACACAATGCAAAGTAAAGCTTTTCTCATTGAAAATCTTTCTAACCAAAATGTAAGTAAATAACTGCAACATTGTTAAGATTATGAATCTGGAAAAGTAGATGTTTTATTGCTAAGACTCACATTTTATGTGGAGAAAGCCACTGAATAGCCCAAAAGTATGTTGTTCACTTGTAATGTAGAGTATTCATGTTGTTTTCTGTTCCAGTAAGGGAGGGATCATGAGAAGTCATCTTAAAATTTTACTGCATTTATTATTGAAATGCTAAGAAAATGAAACTGAATAATATAAACAAAACCAAGAACCAGCTCCCATTGCACAATAGCTCAGATTAAATCAACACTGAACTTGATAAATACCTATTCTAGCAGTCGCCATACATGAGCTAAATGTCTCTAATTAGGTGAATCTTAATATCCTAGAATGAAGATCAGGTATGCTATTGATTATGGTTTGACATAAGAACAAAGGTCAAGCTGATGAAAGCAACTTGCTCCCTTGTCCAAATAAAGCAGTCATCTGCTAAAGTATGCATGAAATTTAACACGCGAGACTGACTTCCAGTGTTGAGCAATATCACACAAAGATTGGGGACCAGGGTATTCATTTCCTTTCCCTCATAAGAGAATTCCATATTAGAATGAATTATTAAAACCAAACACAATAGAACCTAATATATTGTGTTGGTGCCCTTGATCGTTTTTAATTTCTGATTTTCTTTTATCTCCTGAATAAATAGGACTAAAATAAGTTCTGCACAACTTATATAGGTTAATCATACTTACGTTTATTTAACATGTTCAAAAATACATCAAAAGTATTTTTAAAAAACAGTGCATTCTCAGTTCTGTAGTACAACGGTTCACCATCATCTGGAATACTGATGACAATATTGATCTACAGAGCCAGGCATATCTGCAGATATCCACAGGCCATTTCACAGTTAGTGGAATGGATGTGATATCTACATAGAGCTCTCTCCCCATCCATCTGCCTTGCAACTGGGAAGAGTCCTATTTATTCAAAATTAAATAAAATACCCTCACACCATGAATGACAAGACTGTGGAAGTAACTGCTACTAGGGATGTGAACAACTAGTCGACTATTCGATAAATACTTCTCGGATAGTCAACACACTAGTCGTTTCCCCCCACCCTTGCTGACGCTATCAGAAATAGGCAGGGGGAGACGGTGTACTTCAAAGCGGCAGCACCATCTGAAGGTCAGGGCCAGACCCTGGACTCCACCCAGCACTGCCACTTTGAAACACCACGTGCAATCCAGGGTCAGATGGGGACTCCCCCACTGACCCTGGGTTCCATGTAGTGCTGCTGCTTTGAAACGCCGCGGGGAGTATGAGGACAGCGGGGGACTGCTTGGGTCCCTGGCTGGCCCCATGCTCCCCCAGTGCTTTCTTTCACCTTTGCTGTGGCTGTTGCTACACTTCAAAGGTGGAGGCGCCCTTATCTACTAATCTAATAGTTGACTGTTCAATTAGCCCATTAATCTAAATTTGTCATCCCTAATTGCCATAGGATGTTACTATGGAAGTAATTGCCACAGGAAGCCAATTAATTTTGGAAGATCCAAAGGCTTTGGGCATTTGTTTGAATTACAAGACTATCCAGTGTTCCAGTAGTTAACAATGAAAGATTTTGGAAGGGACGTAAAAACTTGTACTTCAGGGTTAATTCCAGGGGCTTAGGTGAAACTTTATTTGGAGATCGATTATTCCATATCTATTCTGAGGCTTTTCATATCTTCCTGTGGAATTTCTGTTACCAGCAACTGCCTGAGACAGGATGCTGGACTGGAGAACAATAGGTCTGATGCCCTATGGCTGTCCCAGTGTTCATCAGGACTCAATCTAAAATATGCTGGGTCAGTAGGTAGATGGGAGACCTCCGAATGAAAATGCCGGGAGTCAGTAAGGATGTAAAATCCTGTTTAATTGGTTAAAAGAGGGGTGAATGGGACAGAGGGCTCTCCAGCCCCAAAGGACTGATGCTGCCCTCTGCCAGCCAGTCTGACTGCGGTAGGCCCTGTGGGGCTGGAGCAGTTCCCTGCCTATGACATATGGGAAGCTGCTCCAACCCTTACTGGTAAACCAGAACCGGTAAGCCTCACCTTTTAAGGTTAGCCTTTCACATCCCTAGGAGACATAGGAAATTGTGTTGATCCTTAACTCTGTAGACTGTTGTTAAATTTAGTAGCTGTGTATTAATCAAGGAATGAGGCTGGATGAGACAGAAATATTACCTGTGCTTATCAAAGAAGATATTTCTCCAAAGCATGGATGTTATCCTGTTCTGATGACCTGGCGTGTTCTGTTTTGAATAAATGTATTTTATACACCTAAATGTCATGTTCTTTTAATTAGAGAAATGTAGTAGTCTTCACTTACTGTCTTAGCTCTTTGTTTAGTGGTGTTATGCACTGTTAAGTGGCTGCGCAATTAGTGTAGTTAGTGGTAGGTAAAATGTGAATTTAGGTTGCTATGAGTTTTAGGATCTTACAGGGTGAAAGATGGTCTATAAATGTAAGGGATCTCCTAAGACCTTTTAAAATAATTGTAATAGAAATGCAAAAATAATTTGTCTGGAATACAGTATACAGTGACATGATTTTTAGCCAGCGATAGAACAAAACTAAGCTGGAAGCCTTGGGGATCCTGATTACTCTAGAAAGGAAGCTGCCTGTTGTGTCAGTCAATGTTTCTTAACAGCTATACTAAAGTTGTCCTATTTTGCAGTTCAGTTTGTGCAATACCACTCTGATTAAACACTGCAAGTAAAGAGAAGTGCTCTTCTTCTCAGATGGCTCTCTAAAATGGTAATAAGAGTTTAACACTGGCCCCAAATACATCCACTGTAGACTGTTCATGTAAGGCTGTGTGACTCCACTGAAACTGCAGGAGTGATTAGAGCATAGCCATGAAATCAGAGGCTGCTTTTGGTAAATGTAAGGTTTTAATTGGAATTTTTTGAAGGCATTGATGAATGTAGAGAGCTGATGAGCTCTCAAGTTGCCTTCCAACTAATGTGTCTTGAGTATGTGTTTTTTCCCCCACTTTCACAAATCCATCTTTGAACAGTTCCTTGTATTACTCATGGATGTGGTTGCTTAACAAATGAGAGTACTTTTGAATATTTAGTTTCTTCCACAAAACAGAAGTTCCTCTGAAATATCCTGTCAGATAATTCTTTTAACCACAGTGGGCTTTTTCAGGGTATGATCTGCATGTGATATTATAGGCCCTGATTCCGATTTTTTTTCTGACTTTACATCAGAATGTATTTATTGATTTCAGTGGAGTTATCCCTGAATTTCAGTAATATAAGAATCAGGCCTGTAGTCTGGGTTTTTTGCATCCATGTGTGGATACTGTGAGAAGTTTAAATATAAATTGAGTCTGAATGTTAAGTCTACACTACATGACATATTTCTAATTTTAGAGTATTGTTACTTATTTTTTAGCTTCATCAGGCAGATGTGGTGGTTGTAGGCAGTACCAAGCCTAAAGAGATTCCAGTAAGTTGGATAAGACCAGGAACAACCATTGTCAATTGTTATCTTGACTTTTTATCAGGTAAGTTCAGTTTAAAATTGTATGCTGCTTTAAAGAAGTATATGGGCTATAAGTACAAGGTGTGGTAGCAAATAACTAGTGTTTAGAATAGGGTATGAAATAAATGTATATGTATTGTATGCATGTGTATCAGTTCATCCTTCATGTACCTGACAGTTATGAGCTTGGGTTTATGCATGTAACAGCTGGTGAACTTAATAGCTTAATTAGTGGTATTATAGAATGTATACTGTATATTTCTTAAATTAGAAGGGTAAAAAACAGTCATGTTATCCTATAGATCTGCTTGTGCTCCAGGATTGTTCCTTACTTATTTTCTTATGCTTTATCCAGTTTAGTTTTATGCAGAATGACAAGTAAATAAAAACTTCCTCTGTGGAAAGGGACTTCAAAACTCAGCTAGTGTGTCAGCCACAAGGACACACTTTCCTAAAAAATGTACAAGAACATACTGAAATGAGTCCCATGTTGTAAAAAGGAGAAAGTAGATGCCAAGTAACTTTTTTAACTTAGGATTGTTTACACAGGAGTACACTTAGGATTATTTACATTTGGCCTGAATTGCCACTCTGTTGCCAATGTAACTCTATTGAAATCAGTGGCTCTTTGAAGTCCGTTGGGGTAAAACCGGTGTAACTGGCATCAGGTAAACTATAAAATAAATTATGTAATTAATTAGTTAATTTTACTAAAAGATCCTATTTCTTGATAGTAACTTCACCATGCATTTATCCATGAAGTGGTAGAATTTGGTTATGGTAGAGATGTGATTTTTTTTTTTTAAGCTGCCAGTAAGTGTTGGCCATTCTTTGGTGATTTTTATGAAAAAAATTACCATAGAGATTATTTATTTGATGATACATATTGAAGAAGAGTTTGTGTAATAGTCATCTAAGAGTCCATTCAGCAAACATTTCTGCAAAGAACAGTACAAATGTGAGAATAGACCTATTAAACTCAATAGGACTATTCAGATTTGTAAAATCATTCACATGCATAAATGCTTCCAACATCAGCATCAAAGGATTATGATGAAACTAAGTTTGTTTAATGCCATGCAGCTCATCTTCTTTTAGTATAGGCGCTTGGGTCCAACAAGCCTAAGTTTCAAGTCATTAAAATAACCTTGTGGGAATTGAGTCAGATTTATAACATCAAATAACATCCCCAAAAAGTTCTACGTATTATCACATAATATTATCACAAATCAGGAAAGAGATCTTGGAGTTATCGTGGACAGTTCTCTGAAAACTTCCACAGAGTGTGCAGTGGCGGTTAAAAAGGCAAATAGGATGCTAGGAATTATTAAGAAAGGGATAGAAAATAAGACCCAGAATACCTTACTGCCCCTGTATAAAACTATGGTACACCCACATCTTGAATACTGTGTACAGATGTAGTCTCACCTCAAAAAAGATATTTTGGCCTTGGAAAGGGTTCAGAAAAGGGCAACTAAAATGATTAGGGGTTCGGAACGGGTCCCATATGAGGAGAGGTTAAAGCGACTGGGACTTTTCAGTTTAGAAAAGAGGAGACTGAGGGGGGATATGATAGAGGTATATAAAATCATGAGTGGTGTGGAGAGGGCCGATAAAGAAAAGTTATTTATTAGTTCCCTAAATAGAAGAACTAGAGGACACCAAATGAAATTAATGGGTAGCAGGTTTAAAACTAATAAAAGAAAGTTCTTCTTCACACAGCGTGTAGTCAACCTGTGGAACTCCTTGCCAGAGGAGGCTGTGAAGGCTAGGACTATAATAGAGTTTAAAGAGAAGCTAGATAATTTCATGGAGGTTAGGTCCATAAAAGGCTATTAGCCAGGGGATAAAATGGTGTCCTTGGCCTCTGTTTGTCAGAGGCTGGAGAGGGATGGCAGGAGACAAATCGCTTGATCATTGTCTTCGGTCCACTCTCACTGGGGCACCTGGTGCTGGCCGCTGTCAGCAGACAGGATACTGTGCTGGATGGACCTTTGGTCTTACCCTGTACGGCCGTTCTTATGTTCACATAATACTATTTAGAACCTGTATGTCATAATAAAAGGATCTTACTTTCTGATGTCAAAGCAGTAGACTTTTTAAAATCATCTTTGTTGTTCAGAGTAGAACAATGTAATAAGTTATTAAAAAATATGTCATCTCACGCTCCTCCCAAGAACAAATTAGTTGGGTTTTTAGTTTTATCCACATACTTTCTGTATTATTTCATATAATTCTAAAGATTTGTGGTCACACCACCACAATAGTTACAAAACCAGTTATTGCTCCCAAGTCACTCATTGGCTTGTTTTTTAATGTATAATTTAGCTCTTTTAGGCATGAAATCCACATTTGATCTAGTTTTTAAACAGAAGAGAAAGCTGAGACCCCCTACGCAGATGCAAAGTCCTAGCAAAGCTAGCAGGCTATTTTCAGAAAGCAAATCCTGATTGAAAATATTGTAGAAAATAACTATTTTAAAAAACAGATTTTTAAATAAATTTAAATAAACAGATCCAATTCAAAGCATATTAGGGAATTTTTAAAGTTCAGCTGCAGGGTATACTTGGACAGTTAATGTGTGGCATGCCAGAGCACTACAGATTTACACTCCGCTTGCTATGCTGCTATGGTGTATAGACATTTCCTTAGCTATGGTTGTCAACTTTCTAATCTCACAACACTGTACATCCCTTTCCTGAGTCCCTGCCTCTGCCTTGCTCATTCTCTGAGGCCTTTTTCTCACGCATTCCATCTCCTCTTTCTCCATCACTCACTCTCCACCACCTTAAACTGGACAGGAGCAGCAGAGTGGTGTGTAAGAGGGAGTGAAGGTTCTGGCAGGGGCATGCAGGGTTCAGGGCATGGGTTCTTGGTTGGAGCTGGGGGGGGTGCAGAGACTGGCTCGAGCCCAGGGTTGAGGGTTTTAAAGTGCAGGAAGAGGGTCTGGGCTGGAGCCTGAAGGTTCAGAGTGCAGGAGTGGGTTAGGGCAAGGGGTTGGGATGTGCAAGCTTGGGCTAGAGGTGTGGGAGGGGTTTGGAGTTCAGGCTCCATCCAGGTAGCCCTTACGTTAGGCATGGGGTAGGCAATAATTTTTGATGGGGGTGCACTTCAAGAATTTGCTAAGTGGTCAAGGGATGCACTCTCCCATGATACTAACGGAGGAGGTGTGGGTCTGTGATGGAGGTTGGGTGCAGATTAGAAGGGAGCTTGGAGTAAAGGATTGGGGTGCCAGAAGGTGTGTGGGATCTGAGAGGGTGTTTGAGTGGGGGGGGGGAGTTGTGACCTGGGGTAGGAGGCTGAGGTGCAGAATAATGATGTTAAGAAGCAGGTACCTGGCTAATCGTGTAATCAATACAGTTTGTATCGACTACACAAATAGTCAGCTTGTGCCAGGTCCAGGAGCTAGTCCTGCAGCAGCTCTGCAGTTTAAATATAAGAGCATTTTAAAATGCAGAGCTGCAGTGGGGTAGCTCTTGGAGCTGACGTGAGCTGGGGCTGAGCGGTCACCTAGCAGACCCCTCTCATGCTGTTTCCCAAGCTGCGCCTCTGCCTCCCCTGTGGAGACAGTGCTGGGGGGAACCGGCTTTTAAGTCAGTTCTCCACAGCACCACCTCCTGCTCCCTACACCCCACTGCCTCTGATACAGAGGCAGCAAGGAGGGCGGGGGGAGTGAGTAGTCAAGTGCTTAACTAGTCACTCACCGCCCTAGTGCAGAAAGGGGTGCAGGGTACAAGAGGGGGTTGTGACCTGGGGCAGGAGAACAGGAGGAAGAGCAGGACTCTGGGTTTTGACCAAGGGTAGAAGATTGAGTTACAAGGTCTGGAAGGGGGTTGTAATCTGAAGGAGGGTTGTAGAAGGGGGAGTGGATTCTCGGAAGTGGTTGTAACCTAGGATGGGGGAGCAGGGTCTGAAATGAAGTATAGGGCAAGAGGGGAAGAACTGGAGTGCCAGAGGCAGGGTCTGGCTGAGAAGTGCTTATTTGGGCGGCTCCCAGCCAGCAACCCAGCAAGTTCCTCAACCATGGTCCCTGTCTTCCATGTCCCTCTACTGGCTGTGGGGACCATGTATCACTCTGAATGCTGCGAGCCGAGAGGGAGAGGGCTATTTTGTGCACCGCCTATCCTGCAAACAGGCAGCTCCGATTGGTCACAGCATTCTGAGTGGTGCACAGGGGCGGAGCAGGCAGAGAGCCTGGCTGAGGCTCCTGCAGACCAGGTCCTGCCCATGGGCTGTATTTTTCCTGCCCCTGCCTTAGGCAGCTCCCAGAAGCAACTGGCATGTCTGGCTCCTAAGTGGAGGGGTCAGAGGGCTATATAAGCTGTCGTGCCTGCAGGTGCCACCGTCTCAGCTCCCGTTAGCTGTGGTTCGTAGCCAATGGGAGCTGCAGAGCCAGTGCTCAGAGCAGAGGCAACATGTGCCTGCCCACCCCTCAACCTCCAGACACACACACATGGCTGCCCCTTCATCTAGGAACTGGACATGCTGTCTGCTTCCAGGACTCAAGCGATCCAGGACAGACAGGGAGCCTTCCTTAACCACGCTTTCTAACCGACCAGACTTTTACAGCCGATTGGAGCTGCCAGGGTCCCTTTTCAACTGGGCATTCGGGTTGAAAACTGGATGCCTGGTAACCCTGTCCTTAGTCTCATTGTACTTCAGTTCCACAGCAGTACCTAGTAGATCAAGGCTACTCAACTTTGGAAGCTCTGGGGATCACAGTGATACTCACAGCACATGCCGAGGGCCACAACTTAAGTGTGGTTGCATATACATGCAAATAGCTTCTTTCACACTGACGGGCATGAATACAAAGATTAAGGCAAGACTATACAACACACAGGTTCCATTTAAGTCTGTTCTGCTGATATTAATACAATGCAATATTTATCTGATTTCCACCCATATGACAGCACTTATAATGAGCAATTACTGTCCAGGAATTTAACTACTAAAGCATATCAACAGAAGACCATTATATTGACTACATTTTTGTTTCGGCTCTAGGCTGCGTATTGAGATCTGTGTAAATCCAAACTGTACTGCAGGCTGCGTGTTGAGTAGCCTTGTAGTAGATAATAGTTCTCTTCTGTTCCACAGGAATACAGTGAAGATACAAACATTAAAAGATTGTGAGGTGCTCAGATGTGGCAGTGTGGTCCATATAGGTACCTAATATAGATATGTAGAGTTCATTGATTTCAATCCAACTCTCCATGAACTTATGTGTCTCTACATGTATCCAGTGCAATTATTGCATTTAAATAGATGCATATCTCTAACATTTCTTGAGGGACAACACAGGATTTTAAAAAGAAAACGTCTTTTATTTAAGCCATCTATAAATATCCATCTATCTTCCTGCCTGTGTTTCTGTGACAGTCTGTCTCATGGAGAAATACTGGAAGATAAGCAGAAATAGTTTACCTATTTTTTTTAATTCAGTGTTTGTTGAAATTTTTGGGAAAGATATACAAAAGATACTTTTGTTATGTCGGACAGGAAGAATTCACTTAGCTGAATTTCAAGTTATTTAATAAAAGGCCTGTTGTTAGCTGTGTGTGACATCAGGGAGAACACAATCTTTTATTTGATTTTTTTTTAAATTTTAAATGCATATTAGAATCTTATTGTTAGATGTGCCCAAAAAGTTATTTTGGTTTGTTTCACACTTTAAAAATGTCCTATTATTAACATTTGAGAAGTCAGAGTGGTAAAATGCATCCTGAACGCAACAACAGCCATGAAATAACTTTTTATTTCTGCATGGTGGTAGCTGCATTGTTATCTCCTGGATGTAAATACCCATTGTCACACTGGTGAATGTTTTATTTCCCAGAATAAAAGATAAGTACCAAGAAAATGTGAGGACATGATTTTCTTGTGTTGTCCTGATTATATAAACTAGATGGCTCTGAAGCATTCACTTTTGATGATGGAATTTTCTTTTAGTGCAGCTTTTTATATATTTGAGATGGGATGTGTTTTTCATTTAAAATGTTTTTTAAAAAGCAGTTTCCATTGATATGGCATCCTGCTTATTCGTTTGAATTACTATGGTGTTACATTATTAATAATAATAATAATAATAATGACCTCTTCTATGGGATCTTGCTAACCTTTGAAAATCCCAGCCTAAGTATATAGTTGTGAAATTCATCCAGTTAGGAACCAATGGGACTGCCTGGGAGCACAAGCAGAGTCTCTGCAACTTGGGATACAAATCATAGAACCATAGAGCTGAAAGAGACCTCAGAAGGTCATCAAGTCCAACCTCCTGCTCTAGGCAGGACCAATCCCAACTAAATCAACCCATCCAGGGCTTTGTCAAGCCGAGACTTAAACACTGCTAGGGATGTAGACTCCACTACTTCCCTAGATAACCCATTCCAGTGCTTCACTACCCTCCTAGTGAAATAGTTTTTCCTAATATCCAACCTGGATTTCTCCCACCGCAACTTGAGACCATTGCTCCTTGTTCTATCTGTCACTACTGAGAACAGCCTTTCTCCATTCTCTTTGGATCCTCCCTTCAGGAAGTTGAAGGCTGCTATCAAATCCCTCCTCACTCTTCACTTCTGCAGACTAAACAGACCCAACTACCTCAGCCTCTCCTCATAGGTCATATGCTCCAGCCCCCTAATCATTTTGGTTGCCCTCCACTGGACCCTCTCCAATGCGTTCACATCCTTTTTATAGAGGGGGGTCAAGAACTATGTGCTTGGGGGAGTTAGGCTTGGAGGAGGTCTTGGGTCAGGATGGAAGAGGGGCCACACAATGTACATTTATTCTGATCTAACAGATCTAAACTTCTGCAGAGTGGGCGTGGAGTGATAAGGGAAGCTATTCTAGTCCATCTGTTGTAATATCTACTGCAAGTGAGATGTCACAAACATTAGTTTTTCCCCTTGGCTAGTGTGTGAATCTCTCTAATTTCACCATGGTCCCTGCAAAAGCCTGGTGAGTCTGACTTTGTGATGTAAGTACATACTGACTGAGAGAACGCTGTTAAAGGAAAATCTCTAAGTCTAATGTATATTTATACACATGCTAATCTCTGCATTGATAGGGAAGGCATAGTAAGCCAAATCAAATAAAAACTTGAAATGTTTCTGCAAAGCACAGATGTCTAAAAGAGGGGAATTTAACTTCATCCCTCCTACTTTGTTTGTTGTTCTGGCAAAAATCCCAGCATGGTCTCAGTGCAACCATAGTCTGTTTATGATTGTCAGACTCTTATAACTTTCTGTAAATTACTCAGGATTCTAGTCTAAAATTGAAAAAACAACAGAAGATCTTGTTTAAAACAAGAAGCTTTAACAAAAACAGAAGGCCTTTTAAATGTTTTTACTATGTGATTAGTGTTAGGAATAGGGATGTTAACTATAGGTTGATTAATTAAGTAGTGGATGGAATTTCCATTGACTACTTGATTAGTCAGTAATGGGGGGGGAGGGAGGGGGAGGCCTACTGCTGCAACTCTCCACTTTAAATGTAGTAAGAGCCTGCTAGGCTCTTACTACATTTGAAGTGCAGAGCCGCAGTGTCCCGGGGGTGGCACGAGCTGGGACTGAACAGTTCAAGTGCGGAGCCGCAAAAGGGTTAGCACCCACCCCCCACCGCGGCGATGGCTCCTCCCCCCCCCATTCTGCCTCATGGGAGAAAGCAAGTAGTTGAGTAGTTACTCAACTAATCGTTAGGAGTATACTCTCTATTATTTAGTTAGTTTGTCACTAAGGTAAATGTACTTGATGTGGAAGCATTTGAGGAAGTGTTAAAAGATTAATTGAATTAGGCTAAATATGTATGCAAACAAGGTCTTTGGGTCTTTCAGTGACTTCAGTGTTCATGGGAATGAGTGGGACATGATGACTAACAGCACTGGCTTGAGTCAAGCATTATGTGGGCAGTTGGTGTGGAAGTTTCTCTCCACACTTATGTCAGCACGCCTTTAATTCCCATCCACAACATCCCTGGTGTTTTGGTTCCGAGACTCTTTCAGATTGTGCCAGGTTGTGTGGATGTTTTTATGATGTGCACAGATGGGGATTAAGAAGAGACAACCTGGCTGGGTCAGGGTTTGAACTCCCATTCCCTGAGGTATAAGGCTAATGCAGCAAATGCCTTATTATTATTATTGTTATATTGTTGTAACTATTATTGTAATGCCTAGAGTCTGCATTTCAGATAAGGGCCCTACTGTGCTAGCTAAAGTTTAGATTGAAAGATGGGACTTACCCCGAAGAAATTGCTGGCAAGAAGCAACAAGTGGGTTGAGAAAACAAACAAGGATAATGGGAACAGTGACAAAATAATACATCTAATCTAATTCGTGACCACTGAAAGACATCCTACAGGAAGCCGGTTATAACCATTGGGTTCATTTGTACAGAAAATCTACATTTAAAGTAACAGTGCTGAAGGAAACTTGCTACTCATTAATGCATTTCTTAATTTCATTACCATCTCAAAATAATATGCACAGGGAAAAGCAGATTAAAAATCTTTTCCTTATTTGTCCAATGGATTATTTCAAATACAGGATTTGGAAAATTACATAACACATTCTGTTGCTTTTTGCACAAATATCACAAATTAACTGGAACTGGTTTCCTCTGGATATCCAATACAAATACACTCCCACATCACTGTTACAGCTGGTGTCTGCTTAAAATTAAGGCGACAGTGGTAACTTGGCGGTGAGGTTGTTAAATTGGGAATACACATTCAGACATCAGATTTTTTTAAATAAAGAAGTCTCTTCAACATGTGTCTTCCCATTCCTACTCTCAAAGGGCTTGTGAATCACTGGTGCAATGTTTTCTTTTACAGGGGAATATGGATATGGTCAAGATTTAAAGTACAGTAACCAGGCTGCTATAGAGGCTGTAGGTCCTCTGACAATAGCAATGCGGATGCAGGTTAGTATGACCCAAAATGGTGTAAAATTCACTGTGTTGACTGACCCTAGAGTTCATAGTCTGTACACTTACAGCTGCAGTTGGACAAGTCTGGCAAATTTAAAAAAGGAGAAAACTATGACCTGCAGCTGCTGTAGTAATATAATCAATGAAATGGTAATTTGGGGTGTCATTCATTCCTGTTTTATTTCAAGGTAAAGCTAAATGAGAAGATACAATCAAAATACAACAGCTTGATAAAATCTGTAGGTTGATCTGTAAAAATAAATTAGACATTAAGTGTCAGTGAGGGAATTTTATTTATGGCTGCAATCCAATGGTTTTTTTGAAGAGTTACTCGTATTTGTGAAGCGCTACAGAAATGGAGAGCCAGGAAATCTAATCTGAGTGAGTCTCACATATTTTTTGCCTCCTTTTATTTCACAGTCAAGCAAGTTTAAAGACTGAGCACATACTTCAACTTTGCCATTTTTGGATTTTGTTTGTGTTGTTAGGAGCGATGTTACCATGTAGCCATTAAAAATTTTAGCGGTTACACGCTGGCTCCTAGCTGCCAACTCCATTACTGGGGAGTTGGCTTCTGCCCTGCACTGCAGATTCTCATATAGAGTCAGCAGCACAGGGTGACAGCTGGCTCCCAGGAAAAAAGTGCTGGCTCCCCTTGTGTACTAGCTCCTGCCTGCTGCCCGCACTGCTCCTTCTGTATCAGAGGGATGGCAGTTGGCTCCCCAGGAGCTGGTGCATGCCTGCAGCTGGCTTTTACACTGGCTTTTGGCACATACCAGCTCCTGCTTGCCACCCCGCTCTTGGGGAACCAGACTAGGAGTCCATGCGTAAGCTCATGCTTATGGCTTACCCATTTAAATGGTTACTCTTACATACCCGGTCACTACTTTTGCCTACATGGCTAGTTGAGTGTTAGTTTTATTCATTTGGAATTTTTTTTAAATAGTATAATACCTCAAAATAAATGTGTTCATTTAAAAACACACAAATCCTGCATCAACTCTCCCTCCCTCATAATTCTCAGCTCAGATGCATCAGGCTTGGGTTGTGTCACCTTTGCCACATCAGCTTTTGAGGACAGCATTTAAAGAAGAAGGCCAACTGAAAGGCCCAAAGGAGTGGTAATGCTAGATGAAGACTCCCTCATGGTGACTCCTTTACTTATGATGCCGTCTGCTTCAATGCACAAGCCCCAGCTTTCTCCTTCAGTGTGGATTACCTCCTGCTAACAGTGCCAGTTCCTTGAATTAACTAGTTAGTGCTCTCAGATATGTTGACCTAGTTGTAGAAATGTAGTGCTTAAAGTCAGTGATAATGTGTGATGTCACACTGGAGGGAAGCAGCCAGTTTTTAGTTTTATAGCATGTGACTATTAACTGAGAGCTTAAAAGGAAATCTCAAAGGTTAATACATTTTCTTGCCCTTTTGAAATGGAACAAACCAGCACTGAGGATCCGAGAGAGCAAGAGGAAAACAGCACTAAATAGTTGACACATTTTGTAATTATTTAAAGAGAGAGTTCTATTTGTGGAAAGAATGGTAAAAGTCTGGCCTGGAGGAGGAATACCTCCAAGTGCTTAGCCCGAGGTTTTAGTGCAATTTGTGCTGAATGACCCTGCTCTTCCTTGAAATCTTGAGTAAACAATGCAGTCATTGTTTTTTCTTTATTCCCGAAGACATGGAATTGGAAGATCCTTATGTTGTAGGTATGCTTGTTAACAATCCTTTGTATAGAGATTATTTTAGCAGTTATGAAATCATGTGTTTAGGCTCTACCTAATTGAAATCAAACTGTTGAATATTTATAATGCCACTGTCATTCGGTGTTTTTCTTTTTTCTGTAAAAGAACATGGTTAAAACCAGTGAGAGATGGATCCAGTCTCAGCAATACAGGCAGTGGAACCTCCATTGCTTAAAACTTCAGCCCCTCTCTCCAGTGCCAAGGTAATAAACATAATAAGCTTTATGTCTCTTTAAATATGTTTGTCTAAAATATGAAAGCAGCAATTTTGCTTATTTGCTTCTTCTGTTATAAGTGGAAACAAGTTTATGAATTCTAAAACTGAAAGGTGAACTGAAATTGTTCCCTGAAAAATACAGAAAATTCCTAAATCAGTGGGACCTTTCAGAAAATACTTCAGGACATTCTTAGAATTAAGTATCTGTGTAAATCCCAGTGACTTCAAAGGCACCTGAACTCATGCTTTCCTGTTTAGCCAACTTTTCTGAATTGAGGCCCAACAATATGTCTGCAGGCTTTAAGGCTACGTCTGCACTTCCCTCTCTTGTGCAAAACAATATGCAAATGAGGTGAAGTGTGGAATATTGCCGCACCTCATTTGCATCATTAATGAGGCTCCATTTTTGCACAAGAGGCTTTTCCTGAAAAAAAGCGGAAGAACAGCTCTTGTGCAAGAGGGGGTTTTTGCACACAAAAAAGCCATGTAGCCGGCTCCTTTTTTCGCAGAAGCCTCTTACGCAAAAATGGAGTCTCATTAATTATGCAAATGAGGTGTGGCGATATTCCACACTTCACCTCATTTGCATACGTTTTTGCACAAGAGAGGGCAGTGTAGATGTAGCCAAAGAGTTACTGATACATTCTTTTGTATAACTGATTTATTTTCCATCAGTTCCTCTCTTATTTACTGCCTATGTTCATGGCTTCAGGGATCTATACTTGCATTACCACAGTTGCTGACAGCATGAGAAATGTAGCTTTGCTTTGCTATTAGTATAGTGTGTGTGTTTTGTGGGAGAGGGAGGGAGAAATGGATGGATGTGGGTGGGTGCGCACATGCGAGAAACCTGAGGGTTTGAACCCAGATTATGGAGAGTAGCCTTGGAAAATTCATTTATAATTTGTATAATTTGAGAGTATTGCATTTTTAACATCTTAATGTTAAAATTAGTGCTTCTTTTAAATGTTTCTTGTTTTAAAAATTTCATTGGGACAGATTTGGTTTGTAACCTAAAACAGATGTCAAAAGAACAAGCATTTTATAGAGTGCAGATAGAAAGAAAAAAGTTGATATCCTGAGGCTTTTAATAGGCAAATATATACAATTTCAGACTTTTCATCCTTGTAAACCTCCCATTAAAATGTAGTTAAAGAAACAATAGATCAAACTATGCTTCATACCATGGGTTGATGATGATAAAACTTCTACCCAACAAGAAACCTGCTTCCTTCCCCTGCCACCATATATAAAATGTTACCAGTGATAGGTTTTCCATTTGTTTAATTACTGTAACTTTATGGTTATATTTTTTTCCCTTTTAAATGTACAGTTACTTGCCATGGGGAAGGTATAAAATATTCTTTTACAACAATATACAATTTTATATGGAGACAGATGGATTTTTCATTGAAAACAAGAAGGAAAGAAGCATAGGAACTAAAATAGGGAACATCTGCTTTTCACTCTCAAGGAGCTCTGGGGCATTAATTAGATTCATTTCCAAATAAAATCCGTAGTGCATTTCCATGGACACTGTAATAAAATTCTCAGTGTGCATACTGAGTAGATGTAGAGTTTTTTTAAATCTTGTATTTTATAAATTCCAGTGCCGTGGTTCACTGTGGTCAAGAAATATAGTCTTGTTCTGACAGAAAACCTGTTCTAATCTTTTAACTTAGTATCAAATATGAAACACTTATGCATATTGAAAATATTAAAATTAACTATTTAAAAACTGTCCGTCCCTGTCAGATGCTGAAAAAAGTTGGTACATATGAATATATTCTACTTAAACTAATAACACCAAAAACTTCTGCAGACTTTAACATGTTGATTAAAAGTTGCCCTTTATTTCCCATGTTTCTTTTGTATAGAAATCAAAACAAGACATTCAGCAACAACAAAAAAAATATAAACCTCATACTTTTTTCTTTTTTTTTTTAAAGGTATCAATAAAATAAATTTGTTTAACATGGGCATTGGAATTTTGATGCATGTAAAAAAGTAAAATTGGAGACCTTTTTAACTTTTTAAAATAAAGTAACATCTTTAAAGACCTATGTTTTATACACTGCTGTATTCTATCTATTTGGAATATATTAAAACATGGATGTATAAATTATACTTTTGCCTTGTCTCCTTTGCCACAAAAACACATACACAAATTCCAAGGAGAACAGTAGATGGTAGGATTAAGCTGCTGGTGGAGCTATCTACCTGGGAATTGTGCCAGTTGGAGACATTAGGGTAACTTGTTACTAGGTAGACATTGTAATGGAATCAGAAGAGACAGTGAGTTCGGTGAGATCATAAGGGGTAGATTCACAATCAGTCAAAGTCTATGGAAAGATTCAGTGGGTTTTGAATCAGTTTCTAGATTCCCTGCCCCTCCTCTACTCTGCATGCTGCTGCAGCTCTCTGTAGGACAATATGTAATTGAATGAAAGTTGCTCTGCCGATTGGTTTATATTCCCTTTAACTGAGGAATCCTGCCTCAGGCTGTCAGCCTTTCCCTTAGCTGTTTCTAACGCTGAATTTCAAATATGCAAAATTCCAAGGACAGTTAGTAATGAAAACTGAAATACGACGCTGGAAAAAACTTGCACGTAGCCCTGATTGTAAGAGTCATAAAGGAAGTTGTGTGTTTCATAAGCTACTGTTCAATTATACTTTGAAGAAATAAAGCATTTTTGTATATAGGGTCTCGTGTGTGTTTAAGGGCTGTATTTTTCAAAGTGGGCCACGAAACCACTTTGAGAAACCTGATAACTGGCCACTGTGGTGTATTTATTTATTGGTACCACAGCCACAGAGCCTCGTAGCTCCCATCGGCTCCGGTTTGCTGTTTGCAGCCAAGGGGAGCTGTGGGAAGCCCACGTTCCCCTTAGATGCAAATTGTGAACTGGAGCCAATGGAAACTTCAAGGCTCTGTGGCTGCGGTACTGGTAAATAAACACACCAAAGCGGCCAGTTGACAGGGTTCTCAAAGTGGTTTCATGGACCACTTTGAGAAACACTGGTTTAAGGGTGATGCATTTTTGCTCAGGTAGTTGCTTCCAGAACTGAACCACGGAGAACACAGACTGTAATTGGTTCTGATCTCAGCAACAATGTGTTTTCTGTAATTATGTAATATACCCAGCACCAGCAGGCAAGCATGTGATGGTTTCTGGATGCTGATTATTATAATCTGTGTGCTAGAAGTATTGTAGTAGTATTACTTGTGTTCATTATGCCATAGACATATATTGATGCCTAGTAATGTTTGCTGCTAAAAACATCGTGGAACATATTTGATGATAAAAATAATTAGGTGACTAGACATAAACACTAAAAGCCTTTTCCACCAGTTACAATTAAGTTGTAAATGCCAAAACATTAAGTCAAGTCTTTCCTTGCACCATCTTAATAGAAAATTGTTCCTGTTGTGTTCAAAGCTAATTATTTTCTGTCTCTAATTACACTATGTTGAATGTCTCCATCTGTAGTCTCCTTGGTAAAAGGCTGTCCTTTTTATATTAAAAAGTTGTTTTCCCCAAATGTTTTTAAGAGCTCTTCAATGAAAGAATAACAACAGTAAGCAGTTATTTTGCTTAGGCAAATCAACTGACAGCTTAATTGATCCCTAAAAAGAGATTTCTAAGTTGAGTGTATAAAACTGATTTCACCTTGGTGTGTTATTCCTGAGTATCTGAAGTGTCCTCGCTATCACTGATGCATTATAATGCTCTAAGGCTTTGTCTACACTGCGAGTTTTTGCAGCAGAAAACATGCTAATGAGAGACTCATTAGCATAAGTTATGATCTCATTAGCATATTTTTGCCGTTTCTTTTTGTGCAAGAGTTTTTTGCGCAAAAAGGAGCAGTGTAGCCGCTTCTGTTTTGCACAACCCTCTCGTTTTGCACAAGATCCTTATGCCTCTCTGGGACAGGAACAAGGAGCCAATGGTCTCAAGTTACAGTGGGAGAGGTCTAGGTTGGATATTAGGAAAAACTATTTTACTGGGAGGGTTGTGAAGCACTGGAATGGGTTACCTAGGGAGGTGGTGGAATCTCCATCCCTAGAGGTTTTTAAGTCTTGGCTTGACAAAGCCTTGGCTGGGTTCATTTAGTTGGGATTGGTCCTGCCTGCTGTACTTGATGACCTCATGAGGTCTCTTCCAGCTCTATGATTCTATATTTTCTGCTGCAAAAACTCACAGTGTAGACCTGTTTTGCGCAAAATGGACCTGTCTACGCTGCTTGTTTTTGCGCAAAAACCTCTTGCGTAAAAGCATCGGCAGAGAATATGCAAATGACAGTGCGACAAATGCTAATGAGCACTTCATTAGCATACTCTCTGCTGGCAAAAGCCTGCAGTGTAGATGTAGTCTCAAATTTGGAAAGAGATGGAGGAAGCGGATTCCATAGAATAGGAGTCACTTCTTTCAGGAGTGGTGAAGGAAGTAGAGAGAGTTTAGAGTGCTGCAAGGAATTCAGGAAGGCTATGTCTAGATTGTCATCTCTCAAATTACTAGAAAATGCTAATGCTGTTTTTAAAAACAAGCATGTATAGGAATGTCAATATCTTAAAAATGAAACAGTTGAAAAAAAATATTGCCAACTACACTTCCGTTTCTCTTTGTTGCTCCATAATACCATTTTGCCCATCCATGTGCAAGGGTGTCTCAGCTGCTGAAATTTTCATGTCTCACTCTCATAAATAAATTATTCACTTTTTAAAAGTACATATTTATAGCGTTTGATGCAATAAACCATAGAAAGACAAAAACTATTTTTCATCCAAGACGTTTCATTGGTTTACGCTTCTGTTTAGGGAGAAGAATTGATTCAAGGGGACACAGTGAATTTAATGGAAGGGAATGAGTAGAAATAGTCTGTAGCCTAATCATCTTTTATTGTGATTCTGTGACATCCCACTAGATAGAGCCAGACTTGTATTCGAGACACCTGAGTGCTGCAGGAAATTATGATGGTTAATTAAGTGGTACCCTTTTCTCTGAATCAGCATTGAACAAATCCCCCAGTCTAGCATTAGTAAATGCTAAGAAATTACCGCTGCAGTAGAGTTTTCATATTAGTCTTTATTCATGTACGAATATTAAAGATCCCATGACAAGCAATCAAGGACGATAAAGCCATTGCAGAGAAGCTAAATGATTTCTTTGCATCAGTCTTCATGGCTGAGGATGTTGGGTAGATTCCCAAACCTGCACTGTCCTTTGTGGGAGATGAATCATAGGAACTGTCCTGGATTAAAGTGTCATTAGAGGAGATTTTGGAACAAATAGAAAAACTTAACGTTAACAAAGCACCAGGACTGGATGGCATTCACCCAAGGGTTCTAAAAGAACTCAGGGAAATTGCAGAACTATTAACTGTGGTTTGTAATCTGTCCTTTAAATTGGCTTCTGTACCTACTGACTGGAAGATAATTAACATGACACCAATATTTAAAAAGGGCTCTAGAGGCGATCCTGGCAATTATAGACCAGTAAGTCTAACGTCGGTACTGGGCAAATTAGTCGAAACAGTAGTTAAGAATAAAATTGTCAGACATGTAGAAGAACATAATTTGTTGGGCAAAAGTCAGCATGGTTTCTGTAAAGGGAAATCATGTCTCACTAATCTATTACAGTTCTTTGAAGTGGTTAACAAACGTGCGGACAAGGGGGATCCAGTAGATATAGCATACTTAGATTTTCAGAAAGCCTTTGACAAAGGCCCTCACCAAAGGCTCTTGTGTAAATTCCATTGTCATGGGATAAGAGGAAAGGTCCTTTCATGGATTGAGAACTGGTTACAAAACAGGAAACAAAGGGTAGGAATAAATGGTAAATTTTCAGAATGGAGAGGGAGAACTAGTGGTATCCCCCAAAGGTCAGTCCTAGGACCAATCCTATTCAACTTATTCATAAATGATCTAGAGAAAGGGGCTAGCAGTGAGGTAGTAAAGTTTGCAGATGATACTAAACTGTTTAAGATAGTCAAGACAGAAGCAGACTGTGAAGAACTTCAAAAACATCTCACAAAACTAAGTGATTTGGCAACAAAATGGCAAATGAAGTTTCATGTGGATAAGTGTAAAGTAATGCATGTTGGAAAAAATAACCCCAACTATACATATGGTATGATGGGGGCTAATTTGGCTACAACAAATCAGGAAAGAGATCTTGGAGTTATCGTGGATAGTTCTCTGAAAACTTCCACACAGTGTGCTGTGGCGGTCAAATAGAATGTTAGGAATTATTAAGAAAGGGATAGAAAATAAGACAAAGAATATCTTACTGACGCTGTATAAAACTATGGTACACCCACATCTTGAGTACTGTGTACAGATGTGGTCTCCTCACCTCAAAAAAGATATTTTGGCCTTGTAAAGGGTTCCGAAAAGGGCAACTAAAACGATTAGGGGTTTGGAACGGGTCCCATATAAAGAGAGGCTAAAGTGACTGGGACTTTTCAGTTTGGAAAAGAGGAGTCTGAGAGGAGATATGATAGAGGTATATAAAATCATGAGTGGTATGGAGAGGGTGAATAAAGAAAAGTTATTTATTAGTTAAGGACTAGAGGATACCAAATGAAATTAATGGGTAGCAGGCTTAAAACTAATAAGCGAAAGTTCTTCTTCACACAGTGCATAGTCAACTTGTGGAACTCCTTGCCAGAGGAGGCTGTGAAAGTTAGAACTATAACAGAGTTTAAAGAGAAGCTAGATAAATTCAGGAAGGTTAGATCCATAAAAAGCTATTAGCCAGGGGGTAGGAATGGTGTCCCCGGCCTCTGTTTGTCAGAGGCTGGAGATGGATGGCACGAGACAAATCGCTTGATCATTGTCTTCGGTCCACCCCCTCCGGGGCACCTGGTGTCTAGCCACTGTTGGCAGACAGGCATCTGGGCTGGATGGACCTTTGGTCTGACCCAGTACGGCCATTCTTATGTTCTTATGACATTTCTTTTGTAAGGCGAGGCCGGTTAAGTTGGATATTAAATTCCAATATAGTATATGATGTTTAACTAACCCACACTAAATTCTCTGCATTTTCATTGTGTTGCCTTGATCTTCTTTCTATCTTATCTTTTACCTATTACAGTGGTCCCCAATGCAGTGTTTGTGGGTGCCATGGTGCCCGCCGGGGCATTTGTGTGGCCGCCGAGTGACCAGGACTGGCCCAAGCCATTCTTGCACCCCAGGTGCGCGGTTTATGCGTGGCCTCGGCCCCCAGGCACGCGGGGCATGTGCGGCCCTGCTCCCGGGCGCTCGGCAGCCCTAAAATGTTGGGGACCACTAACCTATTATGTAGTATTATGAGTGATTAAACAGCCACTGTGTACTATTCCACATATAGGTCTTAGAGGGGTAGCAGTGTTAGACTGTAACTTTAAAAACAACAAGTAGTCCTGTAGCGCCTTGGAGACTAACATACATACATATATATGGTATCGTGAGCGTTCATAAGCAAAATCCACTTCTTCCATATGAGGAAGTGGGTTTTGCTCACAAATGCTAGTAATACTATATATGTTTTTTTGTTAGTCTCTTAGCTGATCCGGCACAGCGCGGAAGTCTAGATGCGGATCGGTCGACAAGGGAAGCCTTTGTTTCACGAGGCATAAGGGAGTGATCGACAAAGGCTTCCCTTGTCGACTGATCCGCATCTAGACTTCCGTGCTGTACCGGATCTTCTGATTGTTGACACAGCACGGCGGCCATTTTTATTTTAATGGAGTGGGGATTATTTAAATCCCTGCTTCATTGACTATGTTGGGTAAACTAGTTTACATGGCTCTGTCGATGGAGCCATGTCGTCTAGACACACCCTAAAGCGCTACATCATTATCTCACATATAATCATATTTCAATAGTGAGTGAGCTGAGCCTTGTATGTTACCTATCTCCTTACCTTACCTCATAGGGAAGTAGTGAGGCTTAAAGTTGGCTTTCACATTCTCTGATGTGCAGGTATGTTTGTCCATATTTATATCAATTCTATCTATAAGGAATGTATATGCTTTGCAGTAACATGTACTTATAAATGCTGAAATGTGCTGAATTGTACTGCTGTAGAGGAGGAAAAGAAATGGACAGAAAAGTCAGTTCCAAAGTGATATTCTTAAATATCTACCAGACACTGACTAGTCTGATATGAAGTCATTGAGCAATATTTGGAACACAATTAAAGGAAAGAATACAATGAAATAAATGTTAGTAAACACTGCTTGGGGAAAAATGGATAACACAAACGATTTCCAATATTACATTAGGCGTTAGCTAGTATTTAGGTTCAGATAACAAAATCTGGGAGAAGAGATCATAAAGCGGTTACAATAACTTTATTGTTGCAGTGTTTGCTGTTATTTTGTATTCTGTCATCGACCACCTAAGCTGAGAGAAGTCTCTTGGCTCCTATTTGTTTTCTTTTCCAGTGATATTGAGATTTCCCGAGGACAGAGTCCAAAAGCTGTTGACGTACTTGCCAAGGAGATAGGATTGCTTGCAGATGAAATTGAAATCTATGGCCAAACCAAAGCCAAAGTACGTTTGTCCCTGCTGGAAAGGTTAAAGGATCAACCAGATGGAAAATATGTTCTAGTTGCTGGGTAAGAATATACACTAGGCTTCCTCCTTCTGCCCTCTCTCCCCCCTTTCTCTCTGCTAACACAAACATGTGGTTTGTATCTTTTAATTTACTGAATAAATTGCCCATTATAAACTTGTAGTACTTGATGCTTTATGAAAGCAAGCATTTATATTTTTCTCCCCCTTTTTAAAATAACCTTTTTTTCCTCCAAGCTGTGATTACAGAAGTTAAGTATGTTTTATGGAAGGTACATTGATTTAAGCTTCTTAAAATGTCTTCTGTAACTATTTGATTTTTTCTTAACTCATCAGCTTTAAAGTATTTGACTCAGAAGTGCAGTCACTTTGTTTATAAACCATTTTAAGGGAAGCTACATGGTAATCTATTGGTATTAATGGTAAATACTTTTTTATTGAATAGCAAACTGCATAGTTAAATAAAATCCATGTTTTTCCCTAAAATGTAGAAATGTCTCCAGGCAGGCTTATCATATGCTTTGTTCCCATGATTTTTTTTAAATGTAATGCTTCATCTAGAAATACCTGTCTCTTTCTTACTCTTTCCTTTGCTTCCTTTTCTCATACATCTGCTTTGTAAAATGGAAAGTTCATCAGATGTTTGTTGTTGGATCACCGATGTAGTAAGGTCAGGATTTACTGTTGTGATGTCCTGACAGGTCTCTGGCTCCGCTGATGATGATAACCAGAAGGCTGCTTGTGTGTGTGTTCAGTGATGTGTGCCGTATCAACTTGCGCAATTAGTCACCACAACAGACCCTGAGACAGCACCCAAAGTCCACAGATCAGATAAGGGTGGACCGTTTTATAGTCAGCACCTAGTACCAATTACTGTTCTACACCTGGGCCTATTACCAATTAGTGTTTTACATTCTCGGCCCTCATCATGCCAAGTTCTGTGAGTAGGGGCCTGCCCTTGCTCGCAGCTTAGCTTTGCTTTACATTAGCCAAGTGTTGTCCGTTGTTAGCTAGACCTCAGGCCTCAAACCAGACCTGTGCTACATGGGCTTATATTTTAGGCCCTCATCTTACTACAGCGTGCACTTATATGCAACAGTTTCCACGCAACGGTAGATTGCAGCATATCTTTTTCTTTTTATAACAAAAGCCTCATTTTGTGAATTGATAAGTTTTAGTTGGTTTTCGTAAAATTCTCTTAATGGCACTTTTCTGTTTGTCAGTCCCCGTAATACACAAAGTTCGAAAGGGATGCTGGAAAGAG